TCTGCTGCCATATCCCGTTCTCCCCCATGCATATTCCTCCCCCCAAATACTTCAGCTGTTTTGTTTCCACAGCTGAATTCTGGCCCCATCTTCACTGCAACAGCTAGCCAGGCTGCATTGGCAGCTGGAAAGTCTATCTAATAGGAGCAACTACGAATGCTGCCTTGTGTCCTGGGACTTGGGGAATTGGCACACATAAGAGTGAGCGATGGTCCCATTACCATGCCTTGTACTACCCTGATGCAGCTTGTGCGCCATCTCTTCTACTTTTCTTTCCCTTCCACATTCACTCTGTACTTCTGTCCTGTCACCGAGATTCTTCCTGTCCCTTTGCCCTTGGGCCACAAAAGAAGAGGAAAAGTTGAGCAAGAAGCTAGGGTGGAAAATAAGGAAAGTGCCCAGGAAGAGGAGGAAAGGGATGCTGTCATTCTGAGTGGCAAACCAGGCAGAAGGTCAAGCTGACTGTAATCTTTTCCTCTTAAGTCTTGCCTTTTTCCAGGCAGTCCAGCCTTCTGCTTCTCTGACTCCTGATGTTGTCTGCCTCATTTGTGCTCCATGTTGTTGAGTTTGACACGCCTCTGTGTGTGACCCTGAATGCAAATGATTTAACGGCTTGCTGATAATTTACCTCTGATCATACATCAAGATCTTTAATCAGAATGCCCTTCCCCAAGCAGCAGTGGGTCCATATCTTTGATACCGTGAGTTTGGGTTGGATGCAAGGCAGGTTGCTATCTGCAGAAGTAGAGAGCAGAAAGAAGACGGATCTCTTGAAGGAAATTGATGGAGAGGAATCAGGGTGCCAGCATGTGTTGCGTTTGTGGGTGCTATCTGGGAGGGGAGCTCAGGTCTGCATCGGGAGATGGTAGACAAAATCTGGTTGAGTTTCCTCTGCAGGCAAAACTCTGGGGCTAGCTGAGGTCTGACTGAGGAGCAGTGACCCACTGGAGACTGCCAGTGGGATGGCCTGGCTCCCCTAAGGCAGGGTCAGGAGAGAGCCTCATGTTAGTTCAGCCAGAGAATAGCCCTGAACCTCCCCTCCTGCCGACTGAACCTCCAACTCTTGTGGCTGGGGGTTGAGC